CCTATTCTTGAGGTCTTCGCTCTTTTCCAGTTCATAAGCGCCATAAACGGCCAGTCAGCAGAGATTTGTTTTTACAGAGACGCAAAGCTTTCATAGACACCAGTGAAGAAAAATGTACCCCCCTAACTTATGAATAGAGACAGCCCCCACCCCCGCCTTCGCGAAGACCACATTTTTTCCGAACTTTTTGTGGGTCATCTGGTTATATTTTGATTTACCTCTTTACGTTGAGTAATAATTTTTTTTTCTTGCCTTTACTCTTTCTCTTTCGCAAACGCAAGTTCGAATCCTGCCGGAGAGCATATAATTTTTCTTTAATAAGATTTCTCGAACATTCAGGCCGGTAGTCGAAAATAAATAATGTTTAATAAATAAACGGAGAGTCTACTTAAATATAGGTATCCACTAAAAATAACGTTTTGATAATAAAATCTGTCTGGTGAATAAATAAGAAAATTCCATCACTTCTTTAGAAATATGTCTGTATATATGAATGAAAGAGAGAAAGAAATGGTAGCTGTCAACCTGACAATCAGGAAAACCAACGCAATATCATTATTGAGCATCTGCTACCGCTGACCGCTCCAGTAACTCTTTAAAGAAAAGGGCTTTTTGTATTAGTTTGTTTTGTATTTACGTAATTGATATTATCTCCTTTCCATGCCTGGTAAGACCAGACTTGTTCTCGCATTGCTTATGACACAAGATAAATTTCAAGACCTCCTCTTGACAATAACATTTCTATTTAATCTGATTTCACAACGCGATTTCTACTATGAGTTTTCATCCCTGTTTGAGATTAGCACAGAGCCCACTTTCTTAACAAACCTATTGAGTACACATTTACATTATTGTCCTCATCTTTGTCGACATATTTAGTACAACGTTTCGGCCGTTGTACGCTCCGGCTTTCTTCAGGTGGTTGGAATGTCAAACTGAACCCTTTATTTCGCTCACTGGTGTAGACTGTTCTAGTTCCACGTGCCATGTCTAATGGATGTCAGTTATCTCCTGTTAATTCCACTCTCCAAGTTCTCCACTGTCTTAACCGGGTATTGAACTCACACACTTTGGGTCCTGTCACTGGATCTAACTAACGTCTTTATCCACTATGGCACAGGGGATAAAGGCATTACTTAATTATGGTGTTAACGCCATCACTTGATAAGACACCAGAAGTGTTGAAACAAAATGGCTATTTTTGTAGTGACTTTATAACATAAATAATTATATTTGCTCTACTTTGTATTGAGCACTCTTTTAAGAATAGTATTTGTTGGTTATTTGAATTTATTCCGTATACACCAATCCTATACTTGGAGATATATATATATATATATATATATATATATATATATATATATAGTATGTGTATATATATATATATATATATATAATCTCCAAGTATGTGTATGTATGTATATATATATATATATATATATATATATGGCCACTCGTATTCGAGGATACCTGTCTACTAGGGCGGCTAGCCAATCCCTATTGCAAACGCTTGCTCAGGCACATTTGTGTCTGTTCAACACCCACAGAGCCCCTCCCCTATGGTGTATACTGCAACTATGCTGAGCAGACCTTAGTTACAGTTTCTGGGAGAGAGAGAGAGAGCGCATGTTATTTAGCGTGATCAACAATCTGAACAAGGCCATCACACTCAAACTCTCGGTCACGATGACTTGTGACTTATATGTTCATACAAGTGTGCATTGTGGTCAACACCGAGTGGCGATAGTCTTTCATGCTTAAACGCAATCTTCAGGCGTGATTGTTTTTGGTTTCTTTCAAACATGTTTGGTTCGATTCCGAAATGAACGCCGTGGCCAACGTTTCGACACACATGATTCTACTTCAAGAGCGTGAACGAATAAAGTGAAGAAAAGAAATCATAAATGTCTTGAGTACATTTTTTATTTTTATTTTTTTTTATCTATTATATGTTTTGTTTATGGGATTCAGTTTCAAACAAAAATATAACGATATTTGTCAAAATATGAGTGAGTGGAAACACTTGATTTTCTTTCTTTCACTTTACCTTCTTCATCTGCATGGTGGACGCACACGAGGCGGAAGCTTGGAGACAGCCTTGACATCGGCACAAGTCAAATTTGCGGAAGGTGATTTACCGTTTGGAAAGGACGATGGAGAAATTCAAAAGACAATCGAATATCAATACTTTATAATAAATCCTCTTTAGAACAATGACTGCTGAATTATACCCGAGTACTTTCGAATGTGGTTTGTTTTTGTTTAAAAAAAATCCGGCGGCCTCACGTTTGATAGAAATAATTTCAAGTCACCAAATGTGACTTCATGTAAACGGTCAAACTGAAATTTTTGTCTGTCTCTGTGTGATTTTTATTATTAAATACAATTCAATATACTGTCCCCTATGGAAGAAATTTTGCCAAAATTCGTATTAACTTTTATATTATTTTTTTTTCCCCTCGAATAATTTCGAATGTTTCTCCTTTTGTTTTCAAGGATTGTTCAGTGTGTTGTTAGTTGGTGTTGTTATTATTTATTATTATTTATTTTTTATTATTTATTATTGTTTTTTATTGGGGTTTTTTTTATTGTTTTTTTTTATTGTTTTTATTTTTATTGTTTTTTTTTATTATTCTGGCGTTCTCGCGTTTGATGGGATAGTGAGTTCGATCCTTATACTGGGTGCTTCACATTTAAGCTATGCTTAGAAAATCACAAATATATACAACCGAAGAAATTATACAAAGCAAACGAATAATAAATAAAATACACCAACAAAAATTAATGACTAACTTGAAAGAACCTGTCTCTCCACTCTTCATCCCGTAATCTCCAGTAACTTGTATAAAGAGAACACGCGAAAAAGTCATGTCTGAAGATCGCTTGGGGCGTGAAACTGATAGTCACTATACAGCGTTGATTCCCGTATCCACCCCCCCTTTTTTTCTTAAATAAAACTTGTTCATCATTTCAATTTCTATACACGTAACTAAACAACTTCCAAATATTTTACAGTTTGCATTTTGGCTATGTCTACTAGTTGAGTTAGCGGCGTATTATTCATCAGGGTTTGGGCCTGGTAACCGAAAAAACTAAAAACAGATGAAGTAGGTTCGTGTATTCTCACCAAACCTGAAACATTAGCGCTACACAATCTTCCTACACCCCCCCATTGTTTTGATGTGTACTTGACTATATTTAGTCAATGGCAATAGGCCTATGCTATTATGAATTTCCAACGCCATTGACTCTTTATTATAAAAAATTATCTTTTGACTTCTAATCATTTCGGTAGTTCCATATCCGACAAGATAATTTTAATGTTTTTTTTTTTTTTTTCCTTTCTTTCTTTAGGGACGAGCAGGCTATCCTGGTGAACCAGGAATTATGGGACAAAAAGGAGAACCCGGACGTGACGGTGCTAATGGTATACCCGGAGCGCACGGACCCCCTGGACCACCCGGACCTCCTGGATTATCCAGTTCTGTTGTTAGCGGCGATGATCTTTTTGAAGATTTGGTAATTTTACAAAATTTATAAAATTTTATCGACGTTTTGATAAATGTTCAAGTCCCATATATAAAGTATTATCGTATTTTGTTACAAATATCAGTTTATTCGTATGTTAGTATCAAACTATGAAATTGTTGCTTCTTGGGAACAAGTTACACTCAATATCAAATCTTCCATACGCTTTCCAGCACCAAAATTGATGTCGTCTGTCTTAACGTTAACACATTTCCCGAATCTTCAACTTAAGGGGTTTACATTTGAGCTATTTACCCCCAAAGTCTCACGTCCATGTATGTTTACGTTTGAGTCGTTCATCGTAACCTGGAATAACGACGTCCATTCTTTTTTTTTTTTTTTTTTTTTTTACATTGATGTTCATCCTGTACAAGTCCCCGGAGCCACTCGAGATAGAGGGTTACAGACTAAAAGGATATGTGAGCAAGATATCGTTTAACCCTAGATTTGAAATGATTGACCTTCTAGTTATCAAGGAAGCGGTCTCTTAGAAGTCGGTTCCACAGAGCAGCCGTTCGCAGGAAGATGATGCTCGAATGGGACTCAGATTTCACCAGTGGAATACGAATAGATTGAGGGTGGTTTGCTACAATGGGTGTGTCATGGAGGATCTTGGGTAAGACCTGTTGGAATTAAGGAATGCAGTTCGCCTGAATACCTTCCATGCAAATAACGATAGATCAGCGGGTGGGGCTTGCGACGTTTCGTCTCTGATTAAAGAGGTTGTATGGTGGGTAATAATTCGTCACCCACAAGAACGCAGACACACTTTTGGGTCGAGAGTGGAAAAGTGAAGACTAGGCAGATCTTACCCATATATGGCAGCAATAACCCATTTTGCGGCCTGCTCTGGTAAAGGTAAAGGATAGCAGGAGAAGCTGGGTACTTACTAGAGCCGAACAGGGAACCAACCATTTTTCCATCTTCTTTAGTAAGGGATCGTATGTACGCATTCCACTTGAGGTTTAGGTTGAATTTAAATCCCAATAGTCGTTCAAGACACAGGGCCTATCGAAGGCGTCCATCGCGATTGGTGAGAGTTTTGGGTTCCATATGCGATAACTAGTTTGGTTTTCGAGGCATCGAATGTAGCCAGCCGTTTGTTCGCCATATTTTGAGCTGTTAGGTCAGTTGTAACTAAACTAACAAAACATCCATCAACCTGTAACATCAACCAATTGGTTAGCAAATGATCGATGTTGCTTATTCTTGCAAATCTTAAACCTAGATTTATATGCCTTGGAAGACGAATGAACAAGAAGTTAAAAAAGGCCTTTCATATTCATCTATCTTGTCCACTGGGCCAGCACCATTAACTGTTCTTCCTTGCACATGAAGTTTGCTCCCAGTTTCTATGTTTTGACAGTGCTTTGAAATTACTTTTGTAATTGGTATAACTTTGAAAGCAAAAACTTCCAGTTTTCTGGTTCCAATTGGTCTTACTACGATTTTCTACAGAAGTTCCCTCTTTTCCACATGACAGTTACACGATATTTTTTTATCAACATAAAGTTTTGAACAGTACTTCCTACATTAGGATCCATTTGTGATGCCCACTTGGGCAATCTATATCTCTTTCCGATTCATGACTGACTTGACACAAGTAGTAGGCTGCATGTTTCTTTCTACGGTAGACTGGTTGCTAACCAAGGCTATAGAACCCAGTCTGTCCTACTGTTTAGCCCATAGCAGAATAATAAAACCCATTTAATCCCTTAGTTTGGATAACAGTAGCCTGAATATATCACATTCTGGCAACGCAATTCGAAGGTCGGTGTGTTGTCTTTAACTTATCAATTTCTTTGAACTCGATATATGTGGCGAACGCGCGTTGGTACAGACGCAAAAGAGGCCCCGGATCGCGTGTGGATATGTTTGACAACACCATTTATATCCGGGTTTTCCCGGTTAGCAGCGGGACAGCTTGGCATGTCTAGATACGGTCCTCTCTGCATCTGTTCAAGATACGGGTCTTTGTAAGATGTCTCATGCTAATAAAAACAACGGTAAAACCATCAATCAGCAAGACACGGTATCTTGTAAAATTGGTGCTGTGAGCAATTTGTTCTTAAAGTTGCTGTGGTTTCCGAGACAGTATCATTTTTGTTACTTTTCTTTCTTCGTCTCTGCCTATTATCCCAGTAGTTGGTGGGAGAACAATCGGTTAGGTGTTCTCCATCCCAATCTTAACACGCTCTTTGCTTACATTACAACAATATTATAGCCATCAAAAACAGCCGCGTGATTGGTGAGGGCATCTACTTTTTTTTTTTTTTTTTTTTAATAAATATATTTTGAAGTAGAAAATATATTTAATTAACCTGTTGTGGTGTATTTTTCTAATCTGTAACTTTCTAATTTCTTTAATATTACAGAGTATTGATGCCTCTGGAGAAAGGAGTTACACACGCAGAGGTGTTGTAGGTGAACCTGGACTGCCGGGACATAAGGGTGAAAAAGTAAGACAAAGGATACTTATATAATTTTATTATACACATATTTATTCCTTCTTTAAATTGACAATTAATGAGTTTGTTTTTAATCATTTCACTCTAAGCAAGGCGATATTGCCACTAAAGCACCAGGGATTATTGAGATTGAAAGAAAATAAGACTTTATTGAGGAGAAAATTAAAAAAAAAAAAAAGGTTCCAAGAAAACAGAAGATGGCGATTAACGTTGCATTAAAATAGTTTAAGATCGCAACTGCAGGAGAAGAAGTAACTAGAAAAGAATCCCACAGTGGAGAGACGCGAGAAAAGAAACTGTTAGTATAGAACTTACGGTTACATCTAGCTATTTCAACAGTAAAACAATGAGACCTAACTGCCAATCTAGTTCTGTGCAGTCGATGGACTGATATTCATGCCAAATCATCCGGTTACCTTCTAAATTTTAAAATTCTCTTGTGGGAATTAAACAAAATCAAAAATTGAACGAGGAAAGATGGACTGGAAAATTTGAGACTCACAGGAGATGCTGAAGGCGAGAGGAACGGAGAAAAATAACTTTGACAAGACTTTCGGACCATCCTATATATCACTCTGAGGGAAGAGGGTTTTAATAATTGGTGGGATACTTTTCGATATGTAATAAACGAAGTTTTAACAAACGGCGGTTTGCAAAAATCATTTATAGCGTCAAAAAGTGCAAAATTAATTAATGGTCTGGGTTTAGAAACTTTCTCCTAAAAAAAAAAAAATAAATAAAATGATTCAAGCATTTTAAAATTGTTTCTCCGTATCACTTATTGGTGTTCATTTTATTTCCAGGGTGATCGAGGTGAGAATGGTTATCCAGGAGAAACTGGAGTCCAAGGAGAAAAGGGTGAAATAGGTTATAACGGAATCGATGGAAGGAAAGGAGAAAAGGTGATTTTTTTTTTTTTTTTTTTTTTTTTTTTTAATTGTAGCAAGTCTTTAGATTGGCACGGCACCCAAAAGAGAGATGCTAATTTTACGAGTTAGATTTACAGCCAAGAAGAAAAATGGCCTTTTATTTTTATTTGTCTGTTTCTCTTACCAAATACAGTGCAAACATCTACATGAGATATTTTATTTTGCGAATAATTAAACCTTATTTTTGTATTTGCCTTGTCTATTTCTCAATTTCCAGTCCGGTATCTAACGAGTTTGATTTCTATTTCTTTCCAAAATTCTAAGCCCAATTTCTAAATTTTGAACCTCACTATTATTTATCGAAACATGGCTTACTGGCAAGATTAAGAAAAGGGACCCTCTTTCTTTCTAAAATAAATAAAATTAAAAAAAATTACTTTATATTGTTTTTTTTTCTAATCAAAACGTGACTCTTTGTACTTTTATTTTTTTAAACACCGCCCAAAATATTAAATTTTCACTTCTGTTCATTACTCCGGCCTTTTTTTTCCGTAAATCAGTAACTTTCAGCAGAATTTAAACTCCTACTCCATGTCATTGTGAGTTTATTCTATATGGATGAAGTCTCACTCTTTCTCAATTTCCAGTCGGCGGCACGCGAATTTCACATTTACTCAACTCGTAACATTTTATTCCTCCAATTTTCTCCACAATTTGTCTTCTTCATTGTCCGATGTTGGGTGTCCGTAATCAACTCGCTGAAGCTTCACCCGCCCTTGACAGACGGACTAGCAAGGATAAAAGATGTTCAAACATTGACTGAAGCTACATTATTTTCTGAATTCTGTTACTTGCCAAACGGTCGTAAAAGCGAGCGTTTTGGCGAAAAGGAAAATTACTTAAAAATGGATAATTAAAACGTTTCCTTTCTAAACTGAAAACAACCTTTTTTTTTTTTTTTTTTAAATAATGAAAGTATAAAATGATGCACAAAATATCTGTAGTTGAAAGCATAAAATTACATAGAAAATATTTAGATTTTGGCATTACGTAAGCTATATTGGTTAATATACCGCTAAAGAAAATCAACCAACCCAACTTGATTTTTTAGTTGCGTTTTTTATTGCTACTTTTATTCAAGTTGTTACTCAACGATTGTTAGTTAAGGAAACTGGTTCATTGGTTCTATGAAGCAAATGGATGCGAGTTCGAATCTCACAGAGGGCTTATTTATTTCTGATCATGTATTTTTCTCACTTGGTCACTAAAAGTAATTATTGTTGACAATCGTATAGTCATCACATTACAAAAGCGTTTTAAACTAATACTGTATGCACGCGTTTTGTTACGGAAATGTTTCAATTTGTCAATAAATATTCTGTGATAGTATAGTTGAAATGATAGTAGACCCAGTGTAGTTTCCGTAAATAGAAGAGTAAGAATGGGAAAATACAATTATATATACATAACAACAGCATAGTTTATTGCCTGAGCAAACTAAATAGAAAGGTTACAATATTAAGATTTGTGTGAGTGTGTGTGTAGTTCCTATGAAATATGTTAAGAGAAAAGTTCTTTAATTGTAGATTTGGGGGAATTATATATGTCTACTTGTAGTCACGTAAGTTTTGGACATTTTATGCTATATACTATTCTGTGCTACATTTAATACTACATTAGCTTTTCTGGAAATTAGAAAGTCCTCCCAAAGGAAAAATGAGATCTGTCTTAGGAGAAAAGAGAAAGAGACTTCAATGTACGCCATCTAGCGGCCGTTAGCAGTCATTCTTTGCCAGGCAAGTGGAATAATCTCACGTTATTAAAATGATACACTTCACATGAAGGATATATTTCGGGAGAAATTTAAGAAAGTGATTGTCATCATTAGAAACGTCTGCTTTGTGCTTTTATTATATCATTAATTACAATCTATTTTTTGTTTGAATTACAGGGTGAACCAGGTGTAGGGTTGAGAGGTCCACCAGGAATGCCAGGACCTCCGGGCAAATCTGAAGATACCGAATTCAAGGATATGACATCGAAAATAATGGGTATGAAAGGTGACAAAGTAAGTGCGTGATTTTATTTATTTAACGCAAATGATGACACACACATTTTATATATATATCTCCCGTCGATCTGACAACCTCATTCAGTTTTAATGTTTGTGTTGCATGTGGCAAATCAGTTCCACTAGTGACATGCATACAAGTCCACATATTGTACAACAGCGGGGATCCCATGACGTAAGCATAGGAATATTTGCTGATGCTTTTTTGCCGTTGTTTTTCATCTCTTAGCCCGCCAATACAACTGATTTTTACATTTCTGATACTACTCTGTGTGTGTGTGTGTGTAATATATATAATAAATAAGGTATATTTAGGCAGCAAATATTCATTCAAATAAGTTTCATTACAAAGAAGCAACAACGTCTATTTAATTTTTTATACTTTTCCAGTTTTCGGATAAGGTGTTAAGTATTCGATGTTGTGGATAAGCTTGAAGCACATACATACACACACACATATATATATATATATATATATATATATATATATATATATATATATATATATATATATAGTATTAAAAATAAAATAAATAAATCACACTCTTTTGTGTGGCCTCATTCCAGATAGCCGTTACACATGATGTAATGCTAGACCATTTCAACGTCCAGCTTCCCAAAGAATACCATGATGCAAAAAAAGGAATTCTAACTACCGCATAGACACCGCCTTGGTTCTTGATAATAACTGTGATAGCCGAAAATACTTTAACAAAAATAAGTAAATATGATCTTTGGGCAGTTTATCTACAATTTTGAGCATAATACTCAAAAACTTGTATGAAAATTGTAAAAAAAAATATTTAGAAAATTAAACAGACTATGTTTTTTGTTAATTGGACAAGTTTTATGTCTGCCTTGATGCGCACTAACAAGACACTCTGAGAGTTTTAAATTAATTTTATTTTTTAAATGTGTTTTGTGTTTATAATCAAGCCGATTTCATTTAGATTATTTTTGTTTTTGTTGCCATCATTTTTTTTATTAAATATCCCAAATTGTGATATTAGAAAATCTGCCAAAAATATCGAAATGTTGCCAGAATCTGACCGCAAATTTGCTGTGGATTCATTGATAGCAATTAAAGCGCTTTCGAAGTATTTTCGTCTTGGTGAATTGTTTTCTCTTTTAATTAGACCAGCATTTTTATATCAAAATTGTGATCAGCCTCGTTACGATGAGCAACTGATGCGTTTAATGTGTTATTTTGTAAAATATCCCTTTTCCATTCATATAATCTTTTTATTTAAACTCCTTAATTACAGGTGACATAGTAAATTCCCCCTTCAAGTTTTAGTTTTTGTTTTGTATTGGTTAAGCTTTTTATTGTTTTTGGAATAGTTGTAATGAATTTTATGTTGAGCTTAGAACCAGTAGTTTAGAACCATTTAGGTTATTGGAGGAGCTTGAAAGTATTTTAAATATATTTTTCCTCTTCATGTAAATATTGAGGGTAGCTAATTCTGAGTGTTCTTAAATAAAAATCGATTATTTTTTTCTGAATTTTATTTTATGATAGAAATGAAAATTTATTATATCCCTTTTATTGTTTAATTTTCTGTGGCCATTAAGATTTACGTTGCTGTTAATCCGGTGTAGCGTGATATAGGAAAGGGAAAGTATTGTTTTCTTCCATTTCACATTTAGTTTATCTACAATAACAGGTATATTAGTATCATGGGGATATATATTGATAGAGCATCAGGTACATATCGGAAATATATGTTGATAGTTTAGGTAAAATATTTTGGAAAGGAGCAGATTCGAGAAATTCTAAGAAAATACCTGCCATCACTCAATAGGCAATCCTATTGATAATCCACATTTTTGTTCATAAAACTTATTATTAAATGTGAAATAGCATTGTTTGGTGATGAGACGGCAGATTTTTTATCATATTAGCTATTATTAGGGAGAAGCTTGTCTTTGATTGAGTTTGAAGCATTTATCAACCGAGACATTGGTCTAAAGGGATTTTATATCTAGACTGGCCATAAGTTTATCAGTCATATATGTTTTCCTTAGCTTTTCAACTACTTTATGTGCGGTATCCTCTAAACCCACAGGACGAAGGCGATTATGTCTCTTCACAATTTCCTTTGTAGCTCTTAAAGAATTTTATCTTTTCATTATTTACCCTAAACCCTGTTCCGTTATCCATTTATTCAAGCTCACTGCGTTGTTTTCCTCTATCCCTCTTGCCTTGAGTCTGTCCTGGGAGTATCAGATTTGTAGTCCTCCATGTTGAGTCTGAGGTGCTATGGGAAGATGGATAGGCATAACGTCGTCATCACTAGTGTTCATTCCAAACACCTTCGTAATCACCATTAGACTCATCCAACTCTTTCTGAATCCTCTGCACTGTACTCAGATTGGCATCCACTGAAATGATCGTATTGGAGCTTCCGACTCGAATGCAAAGCAGTACAGCATTCCGTTTCCAAATTTTCATACGGAGTGAATTGCGTCATAGTGGACTTTTTCTCGCAGATGGTACCCAACTGCACCAACTATACTGTGCAGTCGACAAAATTCAAAACAAACACGCATGCGCGAAATTAAAAATATAAAATGGCGAGAATTTTCACATCACACTCATATGTGTGTGTGTGTATATATATATATATATATATATATATATATATATATATATATATATTTCTTTTCGAACATATGATATTGTTGCCATAAACAATTTATGCAAATGATGCTGATGGTTGGTCAAGATATTGCTGATGATGTTGAGCCTTTTGTTGGTGCTGCAAAAACTAAATAAATGCCAACTGTCAAGAATAGACTCCCCCTCCCCCAACCATATTACAATCAACCGCTCTTGAGATAAGGCAGGTGTGGGTTGCGTAATAGATCGCTGCTCGAAATGAGAAATTGGAGAGCAGAGTTCGATTTCTAGTTGGGTTTGTTAATTTTACTAATGCACAAAACCTCCTTGTGAAAGGTCTGAATACATCTCTTCCATTCATCTATGAACTAAATATCAAGACTTGTATCTGGAAAATTATTTTTATCTACAAGAAATTGTTAATGCAATATTCATTCCCCAAAAGAGAATTATTCTTCCAATCCAAAATATGTTTCGTCTTGAAACAATTCACAAACAACCCGATAAGCCGTGAAAAATAGATATCAATCAATCGCGATTATGCAGTCCATAATCCCACATTGCATTTTATTTTGAACTTCATTCTTTCTATGGCCTCGCTAAGGTTAAATAAGATTTTGCGTTCAAACTTGAATAACAAAAGATGAATGGAGTCCGGAAACATTTTTTTTATATTAATATTTTCTTTATTGTTTTCATTGCGTATTTTTTTTTTTAGATTATTTTTATTTATTTATTTTTTTTTTTTGGTCATTGTTACTGTTGCTTTTTTTTCTGTTTTTGTTTGCATTTTTTGTGTAATTGTCCATTGAAAAACCATGTCTGTAAGAGATACATCTAAGGGCACTGCCTTGACTCTTTAGCCAAGCCTCTGGTACAGTGAGTTAGTTTCAGTCTGCACAATGCCAATAAGGATTTAACTTGAATAAATTACTAATGTTCTAATTAAAAAATATAGAAATATTTAAACATCTTTTTCAACCAAATATTTTTATAAATTTGATTTGTTTTTGGATGTTCGAAGGGCATCACAGTTATAGAGTGGAAAATGGGATTCAAATTTCGACTAATACAATTATGTTCACGTCATTGTTACATTTGGAAATTGATATTTTTTACGGCTTATCAACCTTTTACAACCTATTTAAAGCCAAAACTTATTAGAGAGTGTAAGGATAATTATTATTTTGCGAGTTCTCGTATTAACAAATAGAGATTTTTCAAATATACGCTCTAATATTTAACCCATAGGTGGGGAGAGAAGAGGTGGATTTATATATTTCCCAAGGATATTTGCGCATACATGAATGTAACGAATCCAACTGAAATTCGAACTCGGCTCTTCGAGTTCTCATTCGAAGCCTTTATTCATGGCACCACCCGCTCATCTAATCTTACTAGTATTTCCAAGTATCCACCTACAGAGGAATTGACCAGGCTCGACGTTGCTTAATCGAACAAGAACCAATATTTCAACATGATATGACCACCATCCTGTGTCTAATAAAGGGATGAATACATATTTTCCTTGGCAGCTCTGTGTAAAATCATAGGGTAGACTACGTGGTCTAATCTTGGGTGGGAACTATTTAAAGACTTCAGTGAATGACTGCTTACCTTCAGAAGAAATATGGTTAAACATTAACTATCAATTGCTCTCTTGATACTGAATCCCAGTTTCCGACCATTTATAGCAATTAAGTGAAGCCTTATTCATGGAGATCCTTGTCTTAAGCAGTACCTCAGTGCATTCAGAAGCAACCTCTGTCTGAAGCGGTAGTTGATTCAATTGCAGCGAATACTGGACGATTTACTCAAAGATGAAGAAGAGACTCGAGGCGACGGAGATATGGTTCTACAGAAGGATGCTGAGGATATCATGGACTGAGTGTGTGGGCAACGATGAGGTCTTAGATAAGTTACAAACAAGGAGAAGGCTTATACTTAACATCAGGAAGAGGCAGCTGAAGTTCCCAGACTACACAATGAGGAAGGAGGGCCTGGAGAATCTGATACTCACGAGTCGAATAAAAAGAAAATCAAGGGAAAACAATGCATGACATTCCTAGCGGACTTAAGCAAGTGGATGTCAGAACGTGGTCTGTGGGAGGTGGCAGAGAGAAGGAACTTGTTGAGAGCTGCAAGGGATAGAAAGAGATGGAGAGCCATGATTGCCTACGTTCTGAAAGAATACGGCACATAAAAAGAAAAGAAATTCAGCATACAGTCGAAGAGGAAATAGTATAGTCCTGGGTATAAAAAAAAACTATATCCGACCGTAATACCTCTGATCAGGAGATTGGAACCTCCACTTAATTGGTGTTGTTCACAGGTCCATCCTGACCCGGGGTGGTAGAATCTATTATGGTCCCAGTTATTGGCAAATAGTAAACCCCCCCCCACCAAAAAAAAAGAAAAACACGATGACAGTATAAAAGGTATGTTTTTAGAGTTAAAATACCAGCAATACGTTTTATATATAAAAAAAAAATACCAAAATACCTATTTATAGTAAAATCCATATATTACAATTTCTTAAATCAGATTCTATTCTAAAATATAACTTCAACAAAACTACAATATAAAACACATATCACCGCTTCTGGCAATTATGTCCACACAAACATGTATATACACAAAACCGGATTATCATCTACCATTTATTCAATTGTGAAAGCAGAATAACATTTTTATTACTTCAAAGCTATCAAAAAAATTAAATTTAGGCCTTGAACGACCCTAAAGGAGTTGATATGTCATTAAAAAAAGATAAATCAATCAGGAAATAGTAACTCCATGTTCATGCAATAATACCCTGTCGCTTATTAAAGTCTCATCAGGTTTAATTTTCTTTCATTTAGGGAGACAGTGGCCGTAATGGATTAGACGGAATACCTGGTCTGCCAGGTCAAGATGGTGAACCTGGTCGGCCAGGACCTCCAGGAAAACCGGGAATGATGATGGTGAGTAATGACAGATGAGTTTCCTTTCTTTTCAAAAGAAGTGTTGAGTTCATACTTCTTTTCATCTTATTTCTGTTGCTTTTTATTGCAACTCTCAGGTCGTCATTCTACGGTCGTTATTAAGAAGCATGGAGAACTAAAGAAAAAGCCTCTGGTAAAATTAAATCTCATATTTTTTTTCCTTCTTTAGAAACCAGTTACTTAGTCTATTTCAGTGAAATGGAAAATGTCGAAAGAAAGAATTGTTTAATGTCTGTTTCAGTGAAATGGAAAATGTCGAAAGAAAGAATTGTTTAATGTCTGTTTCAGTGCAATGGAAAATGTCGAAAGAAAGAATTGTTTAATGTCTGTTTCAGTGCAATGGAAAATGTCGAAAGAAAGAATTGTTTAATGTCTGTTTCAGTGAAATGGAAAATGTCGAAAGAAAGAATTGTTTAATGTCTGTTTCAGTGCAATGGAAAATGTCGAAAGAAAAGAATTGTTTAATGTCTGTTTCAGTGCAATGGAAAATGTCGAAAGAAAGAATTGTTTAATGTCTGTTTCAGTGCAATGGAAAATGTCGAAAGAAAGAATTGTTTAATGTCTGTTTCAGTGCAATGGAAAATGTCGAAAGAAAGAATTGTTTAATGTCTGTTTCAGTGCAATGGAAAAAGTTGCCCATTTCAATTTTTTTTTTCATTTGTACACTCTTACTTATAAATAAATTTATTAATGAAAATGTTTGTAAGACGTGTTTTCGGTTAGTAAGGCATAAATTCTCTTATTTGTTTGAATATGTGCAAGCGATTTTACCGAAATTTTGAAATACCTTGAGATTTAATCAGTTGCCATTTCTATGGAGTAAAAGAATATAAAGATTAATTGTCATTGTCTTTGTTTTCAGGAAGATACACGTGAAGGATGCAGAGAATGCGTGGGAGAGAAGGGTGATATTGGACCAGTAGGTCCTAAAGGCGACGTGGGTCGACCAGGTCCTCGTGGAGTCAGAGGATCAAAAGGAGATATTGGTATGCCTGGTTTCCCCGTGAGTAGTTCATAAAGTACAGAATAAACTTGGTAATATTGGATGTTTCCCTATAAGGAAACATTTGTCATTGGTTGACCGAGCAGCTAGTACTGTTTTGGGTTGAAACTTATGAAATCTTTCTCTTAAAACACGTTTTTAGGGAAACAGGTTTCTCAAGTCCTGTAGGTTTTGATTGGGACTTCTTTCTAGACATTATATTGCAAGTTGTGTGGAATGTCAACATCTTGATTATGTCATTATTTTCTCTTCGAGTTACATGTGCTATCCATTTTAGTTGTTGCTGCTGCTGGTAGTCCTCAAGTGATGTGGTTTATGTTATTTGGTACAATTCGTTGTTTGGGATTCTGTAGCGCCAGACCACAATGTTCAAAGAAGTTTGATCTTTGCCAGGACCCTTCGGCTTTACACGCTCAAAGCCTTTTTTTTTTTTTTTCCACTATTGATCTTAGAAAGCGGTTGTATACAGCTGAGGTGGGCTGTCTGTCCATGTTTCTATTTCCGTTTGCATATTATAGCTGATTCATACGTTTTCACACTTTGGAATGTGGCACATGGTATTTTAAGGATGGAACTACAATCAAATATTTCTTCTGTTTTCGTTTTTCTTTTTAAATCAATGAAACTTTTATCTTCGTATTACGAGGCATTTTTAAGAATTATATCTACAACACTTATTACGGTGTTCTTTGTTTACTTTTCCTCTTTGAAAAAATGTATTGTTTGTATTTTCTTTTTTTTTTTTTTTTTTTTCTTCAAATCATCATCATCATCATAATTCAAAAAAGCTTTTAAATATGGCTGCCATATTTTCGGTGCTTAGTTATAGGAGCCCACAGCATGCTTTTAATATATTAAGGTTATCAACATTTTAAAATAGTTTACATCTGTAAAGAGTGATTAAATTTACAATTTTAAAACCCTTAGGTTAGCTAATCTTCATCCTAATCGTCAACACAGTGTGCCGAATTGACGAATCCTCACGATTCGTGATCGTTATGCAACTTCAACCTCCAGCATCAATTTTCAGACCGTTCATCAAATGTACTGAATGTTATGGAGGCGGTGGTGTTGAGCGTCATCAACAATATGGCAGCTTTGAGAACACAAGATGGCTGCCAATTACTCTGGCAAACAGTGCTCACTGTAAATATGACCCAACATCCGTGTATTAATAATCACTCGTCTCAGTCCCACATCAAGCCAACTTCCTTTTCAATTCGGCTCATTATACATACATATTTTACATTAAAATGTTGTTTTGTAGCCGCAATATAGCTTTCTCTCGAATTATTAATTATAGGCGTGCAGAAAAAAGCTCTATCTAAAGTGTAGCCTGTTCAATATTTTAAATAAAGTCACGGAATCTCACGATAATTCACCTTTGTCTGCCAGTCATTATATAATTCAAGCACAGTTAGAATTATAGCTGACGTACGTATTTTCTGTGGTCTGTTATGGGTCTCTGTAGCACGGTCAATGGAGGCATCGTCGCGTAATGGATAGCGGGTCATACTGAGAAATCAGACTGTCGTGTTCGAATTCCAGTCTGGTTCATTACATTCACTTACGTGCTAATAACCTTGGGAAAGGAATTAATACACCTTTTCCCCGAGCTATGGATAAATAACAGGAAAAACTAGGTCTTACAGATCGAGAAGAAGAAAAAACTCTGAACTCAAAACAGACTGCAGTGGGTTGGACTTGCCCAGGAAACACAGTTGTTACTATAGCCGCAGCACAAATGTTGCCCCTACGACCATAGAGGAATTACGGGGTTTTTTAAAAAGTTATTCTTTTAGCATATGGGGTTTTCAAAATTGTAAAACTTCTTACGCTATTAACGAGGATTTAAATTTACAACATAAATTTAATGTTAAACTGAACCTTTATTCTATATCCGTCAGTTTAGCTAATCATTATAATAATCGTCATCATCAGAGTGTGCAAATTGAACAAATCTTTACGTGTCTTCGTGATTATCTATCGCACCTGGTCGGTTTTTAGCGTGGAACCTGCGTATTTACATATTTGATTAGTTATGGGACACCATAGCATCATTTTAACGTATTCGGGTACTCAGAATTCTAAAATATTTTACGCATTTAAGGAGGGATTAGATTTACAATGTAAGTTTAATGTTAAACTTAAGCGATATCTTACGTCTTTCAGATTAGCTAATCATCATCCTAATCATTAGAAGGGCGGATCCTCATTAGCCTCTTCAGATTTCACGATTATCCATCGCAACTGGGTCGATTTTCAGGATGACATCGTGTGTCTTCACATATTTGCTGGCAAAAGGGTATTTTTCTCCCAACATCATCTTTGCTTCTTCCTGGTGACTTGGACCCTATAACTTGATATTCCAAAATGCTCCCATCATCATCTTTGCTTCTTCCGTAGGTTTGGCTCTCTTTCACAGGAAACACTACTGACGCGGCCGCACTTATGGTACCCACAACAATTATAGAGGGCTACTTTTTAAAAAAATCATGCTGTTATTTTCAAAATGTCGGCATTAACGAGGGTTTAAATTTACTGCGTAAGTTTAATGTTAAACTGAACCTTTATTCTATGTCCGTCAGGTTAGATAATCATTATAATAATCGTCATCATCAGAGTGTGCAAATTAAACGAATCCTAAGGACTCTGCCCAGTCTTCCTGATTATCCATCGCACCTAGTCGGTCTCCAGGTTGATATCCTCTGTCTTTACATATTTACTAGATGTATGTATTTAATGAGCGATGAACACCTGAATATCCCTGTCTTGGTGGCCACAACAAAGCGTTACTAATATCCTTGTTTCTCGAGGAATGCCCCGTAAATTTTATTCTCTCCCGAATAACCAGCTCGATGGATGGAAGATTGTCATAGAGCAGCTTTTTTTGTGGTGTGCTTTTACTAGCATAGGCTGAAGGGAACACGTGATATCGTTGTTTACGTACCATCTAATTTCTTTTCCAGTGCCAATGTCTATGCGGTGCTATTATATAGCATGAGTAAATACGTTCGCTTGTTGTCCGGTTCATACTCGTTCTCGGAACTTTGAACAGGAGTAAAGGTTTATCCCTTGTTTCCTGTTTAGGAATGGCTTTCTGATTCCATCTAAGGTCTACTTCAACTCTATATTTATAACGACTTCGCCTGAACTCTTAAATTTTATTCCCTAGTTTTTCCTCTCCCAGTAGGAATAGATAAATTCGACTATCGTCAGGTTCACACGCCTCCCTTGTCTATTGAACAGGAGTAGAGGTGTGTCCCTTGTTTCCTATTTAGGATTGAGCTTCCGGTTTCTTCTAAAGTTTACTTCAACTAAATAGTTCTAACGTCTCCGACTGAAATGCTGTTCACTAATTAAATCTTGACCTCTTCAAGTCTAGAGTTAGCTGTTCTCTTTCATGCATTGCCCTAAGAACTTCACTCTTTGCCCTTTCTTACTGTAATACAACACTACACAGTAACTCTCTGCCTTGAGTGGCTCCTCGCACTTATATTGGATGAAGATTAGTGGAAAAAAAAAGACAGATACGGCTATGGGTTAATTTGATGGTTTCACGAAGCTAAGTAGGGTAATTATATTTCCGTTTTCTTTACTTTTAGCATCATGGGAAAATGTATTTCTTTCTTTTTTATTATTTTATTTATCGATTTTATTTAATTTTTCCACACTATATTTTAAAGATATGAATTTTTTAAATTACTAAAAAAAATTTTGCCAGGCTATTATTCAAACTGCTTATTCTATTTGAAATTCCAGTGGAAAAAATAAACAACTCCAGCCTAGTAATTTCTAAAACTTGATTTCCACGCAACTCATTTATTTATTTTCCAACAGGGTAGACCTGGTGTTCAAGGTCGTAAAGGGCAACCTGGATATGGACTCAAAGGACGTAAGGGAGAACAGGGATTACCTGGACCTCCAGGTGTGTCCATTTATGCCGGCTCTAATGGACATGGAGGATCCATGAAAGGAGAAAAAGTATGTATCAGTCCGACTTCAATTCAGTCGCCATTTAACAAATTGATGATACTTTTTATTTTAATTTGTCATCTTTTATAAATTCACACGTCTAAATTTTGTCTGTGTGTCCCCCCCCCCTTTATATTAATAGAACGAAACAGCCCCGCCCGTACTGCTAACATATGATGAATTTACTAACGCTCTTTCATATATACATGTGTATGTTTATGTATATTTAGGTAGAATATCTTCATTCAAGCATGTTTTATTAAATAATATAGACATATTATGTCTATTTTTACGATAACCTGTTCTAATTCTCTAATTAGCTTCTTGATATTGGAATTCATCAAGGAAGGCGTCGTAGTTTTTATTATTTAAGTACTTTCGATCTCTTCCGAGATCATCGTCAGGGAATCAATTACGAAGACAAACTTAATGTAACTATGATCGTTGTGCTGGTGATTTTTTTGTAAACACACTGTTATTATTATTCTAAAATTTTAAATTTATCCGTTTTAGCTATGTTTGTTTTTTTTGTTTTTTTTTTTTAAAAAAAAAACAAAAAAAACAAGCGTCCACAATGTAAGGGAGCTAAGCAGAGATGGTAAAATGAGATATGGCGTTAAATCTTGGCCAAATGCATTTTAAAACATTGCTACATATATATATATATATATATATATATATATAATAGGATGGTAAAAGAAACTCGGGAGATTAAAAAAAACAATAATAATATTGATAAGACTAATAATATTTATTGTATATTAGTAAACCATTTGACTAAATTGGAATTTTCGGATATGCTTGTGTCCTTTCAAAAAAAGCTTTCTGATGAAACTGTATTCGCTAAGTATACCTAAATTCCTGTTTAAATTTTAGAATGTGTGATTCTGTTTTAAAAATGTATTTTAATTCGGACTTCCGTCGTTCTTGTTAGCATTCATAAATGAAGACTCTAAAATGACACATCTAACGCTATCAATGCTATGGACCGGTTGGTTGAAATACTACAGTGAAATTGATGTTGTTTTTGATTTGTTTTTGATAGTTTTTAAATCTCTTGAATTACCATATCTACATATTACCAGAAGCATTGTCTTTGGTAACCGTATCCCTCGAAAGCCTAATCGGGTCAGAAATATCGGTTAAACAGCCGAAAAGAGCTAACAATAATTCACTCAGCCACTCACGCATTTAGATATAACAAATAAGAAAAGAAAAGCGAAAGGGATACCAAATCTACCAGATAACTGAAATCATTGTCACATAATGGGGGGAGTATTGGGTAATTAATCTAAAGAAAGAGGGACTGAAAAAAAGGGGGGGGGATATCTTGACAATTGCTTAAGCGAACCTACCATAGGCTGAGATGACATCTGTACAGGTTAGTCTTAATATCTATTAACTGAGCAGAAAACACAGTGAGTGTAACTAATTGCTTTCTTTCGTGTGTGCCAATGCACGGAGCGAGTAAGCAACAAGGAAGAAAAAAATGGCGACAGAAAAAAAGAAACACTTATACTCAAAACCAGAAAGAAAACGACTGAACCCTCATAGGGAAGAGAGATATAGTGATTTTTCTAAGCACAGCCGAAAGTATGGGGCACCCAGTGAGGATCTAACTCGCTATTCGATCGCAACTGATCTAACACGACAAACTTCCTAACCATTATACCACGTCGAAGTGCCTTGGGCAAGAGAGGTTTGGGAAGGCAGCGAACCATTTACCTGACGAGCTTGGGTGAATTGATGGCGGAACGAGGTGGTAGTAAAGGGAGAAAAACTGCTAAGAGCCAGACGAGAGAGTTGTGGAGAGCCATGATCACACAATGTCCTAAAGGGACGCGGCACGTAGAAGAACTTCATCCGTAATAAGTAGATTGAAATTTAAGCAGGAATTTACAAAAAAAGCTCTTTCTAAATTATACATTTTTTTTTTTTTTTTTTTTTTTTTTTTTACACAATTGCACCATTGTGAAGCATAGCGAAAAATCTCGGGCAAGCAGTTTTTGTAGGTGGAGGCATAAAAATATTCCCATCTTTTCCCGCTAAAAATTAATGGCAGCTGCTTCTTCATTTCAACTTACGAAAGGCGTCATCAAAACGCTCTAGTCACTGATAACGGAGGAAACTTACCGTGTTTATAATCGTGTAAATATGGCGTTAACTCTTTCATAACGATGAAACAGAACTAATTTATTACTAACATTGTTGTGGAGTGATTTCACAGTGGAAGCTTGTATTTGTACTAAGTCGGTCCTAAAATAGGTTTGACGTACAAAACATTAGGAACTTGATATAATAGGTAATGACGCAGAGTAATCTAGTTGTGGTCTGACTGACCGACTCGCTGAGCTACTCCCTTGTTACTCTTACTACTCCTACTTATTATAGGTGGGAGAGTCTATTAACCTATAGAATAGGTGTGTTCCACTATAACAAACATAAAAATTATCTTTTTTTTCCGCTGTCTTATCTAGGGGGATCGCGGATATACTGGACGCGAGGGACCACCCGGACCTCCTGGCCCTCCAGGATTTCCATCTGGCTTACCAAATCCAGGTTCAGGTGACCTTGATATGACATTCAAATGTAAGTAACTGTTCAGAGGAGATAGGAAGAAACGAAATCGTATTTTTTTTTTCGAGAAGATAGCTCCTGTTTACTCTCAACCAACAACGTGGATTTCTTTTCTCTAGGCCTTATGCTTTTGCTCTTTGTAGCTAAAGATCCTTAGTCGACAATTGTTTTCATACAGGTGGCTGCAAAAGCAGGTATACAATGTGTATTATACCAGTATTACAAGTAATATAATAGTGGTCCTAGGATTCATTTAATTCATTTTAATATTTTTATTTTTATAATAATATATTATAATTCTTAGTTTTTAATAAATAATAATAATAGTAATAAATGTTTTTCAGGAGAGTGTGAATGATGGGTGCAAACAGTTTGAACATTTGAGGGATTGATGTATTTATTATCAATATGTTTGTATAATCAATACAATATTTGTGCGCATATTTTGTTTTCATTACTGTATACCTACTTTTGCATCCCCTATATATAAGGAGGGGGAGGAGAAGGAGACAGAATGGACATAAGAACCAACACTGAATGTTGACCGTCAGGTTCACCCCTGAAGCGATCTTCAGATCATGTGTCATAATTATTTTTTAGCGGACACTATATATCACTGTAACGATTTTATATGATGATAAACAATGCAAAAACAAAATTCATTAAAGTCATTTTTTAATATATTTTATTTTCATAGTTTTTATTATAATACATTATAATTTTTATTTATTTAATGAATAATAATAATAACTGTTTTGCAGGTAAAAAGGAGTGTGTGAATGGCGGGAGGGGGCAAACAGTTTGAACATTTTATTATTGATATGTTTGTATAGTCAATATGTTTTTCCTTACTTTATACCTACTTTTTCATCTCGTCCTGGGTAAGACGTTAAACAACATTCAGCAGTAAGGCCTCTGATCAGGAGATTTTGAGGAGCTTGGAACCACCTCTTAATTGCTGGTGTTCTCAGGTTAACCCTGACCCGAGGTGGTAGCACCTGTTAGGGTCCCAGCTATGGGAAAATAGTTAACTATTACTAGCAATACATTTTTGAAAAAAATTATTACCAGCAATACAATTTTAAAGGAAAAATATTACCAGAAACAGATTTTTGACAAAACAAAATATTACCAGCAATAAAAAAATTTGTCGGCATTAAATAACCCATTGAGGTTGATATGCCGTAAAACAAAATAAACCAAACCAATCAAAACCAAAGAATACATATTCTATTCATACGAATCTATCCTAAAAATGTAGTCGGCACTAAAAAATCCATTGAGGTTGATATGCTGTTAAACAAAATAAACCAAACCAAACTAATTTTTCATCATTTTGTAAATAGTAAATATTAGTATGTACTGTGCATTTTAGTCGTTATATTTTCAGTGATAATTGTTTCGTCTGTAGACCGTTTTTGTTTTGTTTTGTTTTTTTCATTGGAGGATTTTTTTACTACAGTCGATGAAAGCAAGGGGTTATGTGCCCAGTTGTTAGAAAGCTGTTAGTATGACTATTTCTTTAATGTCTGGAAACGGGATGCTAGCTGGAACCCGTGCAATAATTTACACTGACTTTCTTCACAGATTTTTTTTTTATATATATATATATATATATATACATCCTTGAAAGCTTCGTTTTCTTTTCAGTTTTCAAAGGTGATAAAGGTGATAGAGGTCGTGATGGAATACCGGTAAGTACCGAACTCGAAATTTCCTCCATTGTCTCTTCATTCCCCCTCTGCGAATGGCAAGCTTTCCGCCTAAGACCCTTTTCACATGGGTTATGTTCTCCCTTGAATCAACAAGAATTAACTAATTAAAGTTGATCTTATTTGATGAAGAAGGTACCTTTTTTTTTGCCTCGTCAACTAAGATACGATGCCGATGATTCAGCTGTTAATCGCACAATGTCTTTAGGTGGTATACTTGTTTGTTTTCCTTTCGAAACTCTTTTAAATGCCATGTAGACGTGTGACACTATGGCTTGTACCATGCGCAGACAGTGTCGAAGGACAAAATGAATGAAGAATGGACTAAGTATCGAACGAACAAAATAGTCGAATTGACTAAATGACGAAAGGCTTGAAATGTCTACAATAGAATACCTTTTACTTAGGATGCCGGTAAATAATAATTTGTCTATATTTCTGAGATAAGGTATTATGTACACTATTTACATTATTCGGACTATTGTCCTCATATTTGTTGCCATATTTATCACAGCGTTTCAACCGATGTACGCTCCGGCCTTCTTCAGGTGGTTGGAATGTCGAACTGAGCCGTTTATTTCGCTCACTAGGGTAGACTGTCCTAGTTCCACGTGCCATGTCTAATGGATGTCAGTTATCAGTTCTCTCTTGTTAATTCTCGTCTACAAGTTCTCCACTGCCTTAACCAGGTATTGAACTCACAACTCCTGTCACTGGATCTAACCAACGCCTTTATCCACTGTGCCATTTATCCTTAAGGCACGTGGAACTATAACAGTCTACCCCAGCGAGCGAAATAAAGGGTTCAGTTCGACATTCCAATCACCTGAAGAAGTCCGGAGTGTACATCAGCCGAAACATTGTGATAAATATGGCAACAAAGATGAGGACAATAGTCCGAATAATTTAAATACTGTAAATAATTATTTTTTTATATTTTAAATTAATATAAAAAAAAAAACTTCGAAGAAAAAAAAAACTTTCTACATAATTGCTCCAACAGAGTTGTTCCGTCTTGGCAAATCATTTGAAATTCTTTTGTGTCCTTATGAAAGTGTCTTTTTGAGATAATGTCCATTCGTCATTTAGTCAGTTTGACTCTTTTTTTTTTTTTCATTCAGCTTTGTCCATTTGATACTTTGTTCTTTCTGTCTGTTCGTCATTTTGTCGTTCGAAATTCTGACCCACTACCGACTGAGGCACCCACATAAAGAGAGGAGACATTAATTCAAGGAGACATTAATTCAAGGAGACATTAATTCAAGGAGACATTAATTCAAGGAGACATTAATTCAAGGAGACATTAATTCAAGGAGTAAAAAATAAAAATGACATTAAAAAATAAAAAAAAAAATGTACTAATATGTAAATATATATTTTTTAATCTGCAGGGTAGGATAAATGATATCGATTTGTCCAGATTACGTGGACCCCAGGGACCTCAAGGACGTCCTGGGCCACCTGGACCCCCTGGTCTATCCGGAAATGGGCTTACTGCTGATGGATTACGAGCACCGAAGGGAGAAAGAGGACCGAAAGTGAGTTAAATTTAGGAATTTTACTTTCGGGGAAAAATGTTTCTCTGCCTCTCTCCAATTTGTCTTTCTTAGTCTCGCTCCGTTTCTCTTGCTCTCCCCCACCCAGATTGTTACTGTCAACCTTATTGTTCTACCCCCCCCCCCGGACTCCTACTAGTTACTGTCCCCGTCTCTTTTTCTACGACGACAAGTCACTTCTTCCGTCTCTCTCCCTCCATCCCTACTAGTCACTCTGTCCGTTTCTCTTTTCCTCACACCATCTAGTCACTCTATCCATTTCTCTCTTTCTCTCTCTCTCTTTCACCGACTAGTCACTGTCTCCGTTTCCTCTCTCTCTCTCTCTCTCTCTCTCTCTCTCTCTCTCTCACACACATCGATTAGTCACTCACTCCATTTTCTCTCTCACACACACACATCGATTAGTCACTCACTCCATTTTCTCTCTCTCTCACACACACACACACACATCGATTAGTCACTCACTCCATTTTCTCTCTCACACACACACACACACACACATCGATTAGTCACTCACTCCATTTTCTCTCACACACACACACACACATCGATTAGTCACTCGCACCGTTTCTCTCTCTCTCTCTCTCACATAAACACATTAGTCACTCGCACCGTTTCTCTCTCTTCCTCATAATGTCTAGTCACTCGTTCCGTTTCTCTGACATCCTGACGAGTCGATCTCTCTCTCCAGTTTTTCTATCCCCCGCTAAAGACTGTTCAACTGTTTTGTTTAAAATTATGTAATGTAATTTCTCCTGTGGCTTATCGAATTATAAGAACGTTTTTTCTCTCTTACATTTCTTCTGATAACCAATTAGTTTTCCTCTTTTCCGACCTTCTTTTTTCAGACTCTTTTATTCAGTCCTTTTTTTTTTTTTTTTTTAACTTCATTTCTTTTCTGCTATGGAAAGATGTAACACAACCCAAGTGAAGTCCTGGCTACCTTCCAGCTTCTATAGATCACAATGAAGACAATGAGACTAAGCGAATGGAGCCGTCTCGTTGTGCTGATCTGTTTTGGAAAAACCTGTGTAAACAAAAAACATACCATTTACTGATAATAAATGACTAAAGGCACTGACAGCAATTTATGACGGGTGCCAACATTTTGGTTTATTGAGCTGTTACCTTGACATCTGTCTTCTTTACGGCAGCGAATGTTGGACGATTTCCTCAAAGAGAAGAAGAGACTCGAAGCAACGGATATGTAGTTCTACAGAAGGATGCTAATGATATCATGGACTGATCGTGTGAGCAACGATGAGGTCTTAGAGAGGACGCAAACAAGGAGAAGGCTTATACTTGACATCAGTATGAGGAAGCTGACGTTTCTGGGACACATAATAAGGAATGAGGGCCTGGATAATCTGATACTCACGGGTCGAATAGAGGGAAAGAGAGACAAGGGAAAACAACGCGTGACATACCTGGTGGATGAGAGGACATGGTCTGGGGGAGGAAGCAGAGGGAATGGACTTGTTGAGAGCTGAAAGGGATAGAGGGAGGTGGAGAGCCATGATCGCCTACGTCCTGAAAAGACATGGTACATAAAAAAAAAACAGACTGCAGAACAGACGAAGCTGAACGACTTCCCTAACACACAATATAATAAAAACGCGTCAAAGAACAGGTCGTATTGTACACTATTATATGTCAATGCTCGTTTGGATGTAACATTAAGTGTAATTTAGTTTATAAAACAAATGGTCGGGACTGTAATTTGTTACCTCCACAGCACCGGAAGAGCTGATAAAACTCAAGCATGAAATTCTTCATAGTTACCATGATTAATTTAATCTTTGTTTTCACACCAAGCAGGGCAAATAATGCCACTAGGGCGCAAAGGGTTTACTGGGAGTAGAAAAAAATGAGAAGACTTCAGTGAGGAGAAAGGATAAAGAACATGTTTTATGAAGACGGGAGATGACGATTGATGTTGCATTTGAATTTTTGAAGATCAGGAAGCAAGAAATCGGAAGAAAGTTCCACAGGTGAGAGGTGCGAGAAAAGAAACTCTTAGACTAGAACTTACAGTTGCATCTAGTTATTTCAACAGTAAAACAATGAGACCTAACAGCTAATCTAGTAGTACGCTTAAATTCACGTGGTCGAGGTCCCAAGGAAGAGAGATCATTAGAACAACTGCCACGAAAATATTTATAGAAAAGACAGAGGAAGGCCACGTTATGGCGGTGGGAATATGACTGAAGTCGAGATGTCAGGTCAGGACCTGTAATATTACAAACCCTTCTTTGGTTTTTGTCGAGAATCTCGAGATATATGCCAGGAGCATCCGACCGGGTATGGTTGCAATATTCAGTCCATGGATGAATGGTAGATTTATAAATGTACAACATGAATTCTGACAAAAGAAAATTGTCTGGCACAACACAAGTAAATTTTTTATTCAACTTCCAATGGGCTTGAGCACGTCATGGCAGTTTTACAAATATTAACGAATTCTCTATTTCTTTTTAAACAGGGGCCAAAAGGAGAACCCGGCATTGGCATTCGGGGCCCAGCAGGTGTCCCTGGCCACCCTGGATTGTCTATTCCTGGAAGACCTGGCCCTCCGGGACCTCCTGGACCAGCAGGATCTGGTAGCAGTTCAACTTATAACGACAGAGCATCATCAGGTTCAAATGGAGTAAGTATAGAAAGAAAACAATACATTGAACCTCTTTGTATAAATAATAATCAATTGAGATGTTTATACAAATTCTGAACTGTTGTATTATAAGTCATAGCATACATTTATAGCATTATTTGACTACAAATATATATATATATATATATATATATATATATATATATATATATAATTATAAATTGATTTATTTAAAATATGGTTTGTTTCGCTACACAGTTCTAGCCATGTTTCAAAAATGGAAGCTAAAAGCTACGAATTTAATTTTGTAATTAAATTGAAGACATTAGTTCCATTGAGGATGAAATGGAACTAATGTCTTTAATTAATTACAAAATTAAATTCGGGGCTTTTAGCTTCCATTTTTGAAACATGGTTAGAACTGTGTAGCGAAAAAAACATTTTAAATAAATCAACTTTAACTCAATCAAATAATATTAATGCTCTGTAAATTTACATTGAGCACTATTTTGTAAAAATAAAAATATCTATAAGAACACCGGATTATATATCTTACTGTTCTTTCTTTATATATATATATATATATATATATATATATATATATATATATATATATATATATATAAAATCCAATTTTAGCAAACATGGACTTATGTGTCCACAATAAAACCGGAGTTTCAAAAGGACGCTTTATCCCATGACACCGCTTTGTTTTTAACTACCTTTTGATCTTCAGTAATGTTTATTTTAAAAAGCGATGATTACAACTGAAATAAAACCAAAACATAAAAGTGAATTTATACATTCTTTCTTTTTGAGAATTGACAACAAAAATAATAAACACTATTTGTTTATTTACAATATTATTGAGTGGAATAATTAACAGAACATCGGCTAATTACCAATTAATTCGAAATTTATGAAATAGCAAAGAATAAGGATTTCCTTATTGTTGGTTCAAATATTTTAATAATTTAGTAAACGGTTATAAATTATAAATAAAACAGTTTTCATATTTATTTCTTTATAAATTGGTAATGATGCATTGTATTAGTTTTTATAATTTTGGAAATATAAAATTATTCCTGTAAATAAATAATCTAATAAATAAACAGCGTTTAAATTCTCCAAAAAAAGGTATAAATTCACTTTTATCATAGATTGTATTTCAATTCTAATGATTGCTTTTTTTAGAACAATAAACATTGCCACAGAGTGGAGGTAGTTTTTTTTTTTTGGGGGTTAAACTGTGATTGTTAAACCATCCTTTTAACACCACGTATTATTGCAGACATGAAATTCTGTTTGTCCAATTTTATTTATTTATAGACGACTGCTCATATCATTTCACCACCCACAGGGCCGGTCTATGGATTATACTGCCACTATACTGAATGAAACTTTAGTTAGTTTTTGGAAGAGAATGCATCACCTGGCCTAATCAACAGTTTTAAGCAAAGCCAGTACCGTTCAGAGCCTCGCTGACTTCGTCTAAGCATAATCATTGACGACATCTGAGCAGTTTCATTTATCTAATTTAGTCTGGGTCAACCCATGGTAGGACTTTCAAGTACTTTCCAAATGTGCTGCACACTTCCCCAGAGTGATATTATCAAGAGGTCACCTTACCCCTGGCAAATCGACCATTCGAAACCGGGTCTTATGGCCAAAACGTTAATGTTCTAACCACGCGTCCATATATTTTAATATTGCAATCAGAACGGACATATCCAAAAGCAATATAACAGGGAAAAGAAGTACAAGGAGAAAAAAAAAAAGACAAAATTTAATGTCACGAAACAAGAAGAAAAATGCTCCTCATTCTTCAAATCTCAGGAAAGGAATAAAAACGGTGTGAATAAAGATTAAAATACAATTTTTATCGTTCGGACTTCTTCAGGTAATATGCGTTGGAATTTCAAACCAAGCATTTTATTTGGTCCACGGGGATAGATTGTTCTAGTTCCACGACTTTTTTTTTAACGTATATCACCTGAAGAAAGCCAGAGAGTATAACGGTCGAAACGTTGTGAATATGAAAATAAAGACCAGGACAACAGTCCGAAGAATATAAATAGTGTAAATAGTTATAATAACTCATCTCAGAAATATAGACAGATATTAAAGGTAAAAGTTGGTCATCACCAACATGGTTCAATCAATAAGCTGGTTCTAATTTCCGCGAGATCAATTTCAGATGTCTCTGGACGCCGCACAGTACTGTTTGTTGGCATCAGATTTTCCTTGTGTATCATACATTTTTATAACCTGCTAACGTTTAAAGAAAGTCATTCGCAGTAAAATAAAAAGGCAAAATTAAATTTTTATAATTATTTACACTATTTTCATTCAGACTATTATCCTCATCTTTGTCGTTTTTATCACAACGTTTCGGCTGTTGTGTTTTCTGGCCTTCATCATGGTCATATCGTTCCGGGTAAGCTACGGGAAATTCCAAACTGAATACATTATTTAATCTGCCGATATCTTGAGATCTCTCGTTCCTATTTTTAGTGTTGCTCAGTTATTGCTCACTCCTTTTCCAATGAGTTTAAGTTCAAACAGTACGGCCCAGGGATAGAATTCACAATGATGTAACCAAATTCCCGAAACAACACTAGGCTATTGTTCGTTAGTTTGTAGAGAACTTGAAGCCTTAAACCTAACCTGACTGCTGATGAGTTCTACTGAAGCTGTTGTTTCCCATGTTCTGAAAAGAATAATTCTTTATAGGTTGAAAATAAATTCTCACTTTGAAATTCCTCCCTTACCTAAAACTACAAACACCCAAAGAAAACTGGGACGGACTACTACTGAAACACATGGACAGAAAGTACTATTCCCAATAAATTAATGTTATAGACAAAAAATACTTCCTTTAAAAACGTGACTTTTTTTTAACAGGTTGTGACGTTTCGCAATGAAGAGGAGCTCCAGTCTGTGGCTTTATCGGTTCCTGTTGGTACTTTAGCCTTCGTCATGGATACAGAAATGCTACTGATACGTTTAAAAGAATCATGGGCTCAAATCGAAGTAAGTATCCACTTGACATCTCAAATATTCATCGTCTTATCCCTCAGCCTTTTCTAATGCCCTTCGGTTTCTGGTAATGCTATCATTTTCTGTGCCCGACCCTTGCTCAAGTGCACATATATCACGTCCCCACCCCCGTTGTAAGGAATGAGCCTTTCTCTACATTTTTGATGGTAAGCAAACTGTTTACGTAACTCTCGAGGGATCATTTTTATAATGGGGAGCGGTGTTATTTGCTAAGTCTTAACGTTAGACATCTTAATCGGTGGGGGCAGGTATTTCAAAAGGAGTCGACTGTAGTCGGGATCATCGAGTCAATGCGAGCGATCCTTTCCTTAGCTGCATAGAGCTACATACAGTTTTAAATTCTGAGTTTTCCTTCACTTAGGCTATCGAACCTTGTCTGTCCTACTATTTACCCATAGCTGGGGGAGAAGGGCATTAGCACATAAGTGAATGTAATGAACTCGACTGGAATTCGAACTCGGCTCTCCGATTCATCAATCCAAGTCGCAAACCATTACTCTACCGTGCAGTATATAATTCACGCTTGTATTCGTCGAGTTTTGATTATAAGAAATAAACACTTATTAAGTCTTAATTAACCTATAGCTGGGAAGAGAAGTGAAATCTAGGGAGAAAGTCTTCGGTCAACAGAGGTTTTGGCTTAGGATCAACTGAAAACAAGGACTAAGCTATCAGGAAAACTATAGAAGGGACACCATGGTGTAGACTTTTGTAGAAAGTCATTACTTAAACCTTTTGAGAAAAAAAAGTGGATGCGGTGTATACTTAAAAAGAAAAATGTTCTCCTTAGAGAATTGGACAAATTAGTCATTTAAAATGGTTATTATATATATATATATATATATATATATATATATATATATATATATGTGTGTGTGTGTGTGTGTATGTTATTATGTTGATTTGGGGTTAGTAGAGACAAATAACACGTAACAATAAAAAGGGTTTTAATAGGTTGGTAAAAAGTTACAGAAATCGCCTGAGTAGTCAATAACTAGCTCAGCTAAGAACTTCTGTCTATCTTCCCCCATGTCAACTGACATGCCACTATTTAAAGTCTTTGTTCACAGACGCAGACAAGTTCATCTTCAAGAGGGGTGGTAGGTTTCCGACACAACTATATATATATATATATATATCCCATTCGATACGCAATATCCGAAAATATTGTCTGTAAGTTCCAAGAATAAATGTTAAAGAAATCAACTTATTTTTTTTTATTTCTTATTGCCTTGTCAACACTTAATCTAAAAATTTGAGTTATGTTCATATGTGTAGTTATGTATATCTAATTCATAAATGACTTTTTAATAACCATAGCCAAGATTTCTTCACTTATGTTAATGAGTACGTAAAAACTGTCGAACAGATTATAATGAAATGTTTACAATTATTGGTTAAGATCCCAAAACTTAATGATTAGGGACAAAAATCTGATTAAAAATATATTTATTTGAATTTCTGCGTTATGCACAAGTTAGCATGAAACATTGGTTCCTTATTTTAATAAGAGCTTAAAAAATATAAATACTTTTTTAAATCCATTCAACAAAAACAAGGCGATAATGCCACAAAGAAACTATGGGTTGGTGAGAGTGAAAGAAACAGTTTCGTCTACCTAATTTAATTCTAATTTAAGTTTGGATCAAGTTGTGGTATGGTTCCATGTACTTCATAAATATGCCCATGGTGATATTATTAAGAGATCATTCTCCCTTGGCAAATCGACCATTCAAATCCAGGTCTTATGTTCAGAATGCTACTTTTCTAACCACTGGTCCATATATTTTAGTTTTAATATTGCAGTCAAAACGGACATATCCAAAGCAATATAATAGGGGAAAAAGAAGAGCAAGGAGAAAGAAAAACAGAAAATTAATACCACAAAGCTAGTAAAATGAAACAAGAAAAAATCTTTGACAGGATTGTTTTCGGAGATTTCTCCTAACCAGTTGAGATTTACCTATGACTTGTCTTCTTTTTACTTCCCCCCCCCTCACCAACTCTAGCCACGCCTTGCGATCTGTCAGTCCCAGAAGCACGTCCACATACAGAGATCTTTTGTCTGTATAAGGAGCGAGATTGTATTCATCCATTGCTTTGCTTGTCTCGTGGATTTGTATTCAATCTTTTTAATTGGCACAAATTTGACGTATATGCTAGGGGTGTCCTCATCTGCATTTGTTAGCGTTTTAATTGTTGGGGTTTAATCTGTCATGGTCACATGATGTATGTGGCCGTTTCCTTTTTCTGTGGTTTGCTTTTTGGTGTAATTTTATTCACATTTGGTCTAGTCTTAAAGATATGTGTTTTTTATATACACACAAAACACGTGTTTTTATATATATATATATATATATATATATATATATATATATATATATATATATATATAATACATCATGATTCTGGGCTCTTTTTCCTCTTCTAGCTTCAGATTCCGCCATGAACAGTTTGTGTTCCTGCCATGTGTTTTGCATGTCCCTTTGCTTGTACATAGTTATCTCCCTTGGTTGCATGTCTTCAATTTCCATAGCGTTTCCCTCTTGTTAGCTGCCTTTCCCGCTCAATGTTTGAATTTTGTCTCTTTGCCTTGATCTGACGCCGTTTCTCCATGTTTCAACCAGACAAGAAACGTTCACATCGCCACGGTGAGTTTTCTTTTTATATTATTTTTTTTTTCTTACGCTTTTTGCTCTGTTCAATCTTATTGCTGCTGCTTCTGTTTCTTCCCTTCTGCAAATACTCGACCATCGAGCGCATTAGTCATTTCTATGTCCTTTGAGGATTATTAATCCGGTAATTAAATTTTCAAGCAGATGATATCGGCATTAATTTCTCTTCTCTTGCCACTTCGCCCCATCCCTGTTCGTTTCACCGTTTGAATGCTAATTTCTATCCTCCCTTCCCCCTTTGTGATTATGCACTCTTTCCCACTGCTTCCTTCCCGTTCGTGATTCCCCACCTACTACACACACACACTTTTTCTCTTTATCGTCCTGGGTATGATGATAAACTACATCCGGCAGCAAGGCCTCTGATCAGGAGGTTTTTAGGAGCGTGGAACCATCTCTTAATTGCTGTTGTTCCCATGTAGCATCTGTTAGGGTCCCAGCTATGAGCAAATGGTGAGCCCCAAAGAATAAACAAAACACTATGAAAGTATAAAAATACATCTTTTTATAGAATTACCACCAATACATTTTATAACAAAATGACCAACAATACATTTTATCTGGAGTTGAAGGCATACAATTGCGTTCAAAATATATTTAGTTGAAACCATAAAATTGATCAAAATATTTTGGCATTAAATAACCCATAGAGGTGTTGATATGCCGCTAAAGAAAAACAACCAACATGAAAGAACACTTTCATGACATTAATCCATATATTACAATTTCTTAAATCAGATTCTATTCTAAAATATAACTTCAACAAAACTACAATATAAAATACAAATATCACCGCTTTTGACAATCAAGTCTGCACAAACATGTATATACACAAAATCGGAGTATAATCTATCATTTATTCAATTGTGAAGGCAGAATAACGTATATAGTATCTTTATTACTTCAAAGCTCCCAAGAAAATTAAATTTCGGTATTAAATGACCCATAAGGAGTTGATATGGCATTAAACAATCAAATCTGTTTCGCTCAGCTACTCCCCTCTCCACACCCCTCGAGCGAGTTTCCCGCCCGTCGCTTCTCTGCCCCACCCCCTGTCTCACAAGCGATTTTCCCACGCGTTGCTGCCCCTGCAACGCTTCCCTTTCCCCTCCCAAATATCTAGTGAGGATCAAACCTGTCATCTTTGAATCAGAACTGATAACGACATCCTTTAAAGTATTGTTCTCAACCAAGCCAAAAAATTACATTTAGTGAAATAATAACTTTGGATTCCTAATAATAAAATCTAAAAAAAAAAAAAAAAAAAACATATCAAAGACATTGTTTGCACCTGACGACAAATTCATGTTCTTCATCCGAAAAAAAAACCCATCTATTTTAATCTACTTTATTGTTTTTCTTTATTCATTTTTGGCACAAAAAGTCATGTCCTACCGATTTGGCTTACATTAAATTATGCTTTTTTTGTCTTCTAATCATTAGCTTCTCTCAATCACTAACTCTTCGTAATCGCTGTTGTGTTTTTTTGGTTACGGGGTAGATAGCTTCAAAGAAAGTCTCTCAGAAAAATGTATTCTTACTGTCTTGTTTCTGACATTTTCTTTTTCGAAGCGGTTCTTGTCTCTCTGATTTTAACTTAAAGCACTTTACTTATTTTAATGTAAATTTTATTTAGTAGATATATTACTCTTATTTCTCTCTCTCTCTTTCTCTCTCTCTTTGTCTCTTTCTTTCTCTCACACACAGGCACTCTTTTTTTTTCTGTTTCCATCTTATTTACTGACTTGCCAATATTTTTTTTTTAAATTCGTTGTTTCAAATGAAATTGTTTCATGCAGAACGTTTTTCGTCCAACTAAAAATAGAATTTGTCTATATTTCTGAGATGAGGTATTATGTACATTATTTACATTATCGGACTATTGTCCTCATCTTTGTCGCCATATTTACTACAACGTTTCGGCCGTTTCTTCAGGTGGTTGGAATGTCGAACTTAACCCTTTATTTCGCTCACTGGGGTGAAACTAGAACAGTCTACCCGAGTGAGCGAAATAAAGGGTTCAGTTCGACATTCCAACCACCTGAAGAAACGGCCGAAACGTTGTAATAAATATGGCGACAAAGATGAGGACAATAGTCCGATAATGAAAAATAGAATTGTTCTATTTCTTTCTTAGTCAGACTTGTCCTAATAAAAAAAAAAAAGTTTTCTATATATTAATCTCGCCCTATAATAGAAATTGATGACGTTTTTAATCAAACTATTAAATATTCACATTCTTTTTTTTTTTTTTTTTTTTTACATTAACCGACATTTTTAGAAAAGTTTAAAAATGTTTGAAGTGATAGAATTATTACTTTATTTACCGTTATTTTTAGCGGATGCCTATATTTGAGTAAACGCCCTGTTTATTTATGAAGCAGTATATTTATTTTCCTATACCGGCCTTGAGTATTCGAGAAATTAAAGAAAAATATTCGCTACCCGGCACGATTCGAACTTGAGTTCCTCTTCACAGGAGAGAGATTTGCGTTTATAAAGCACTATTCAACTTTGAACGATCCTTCATGCACTTCGTGGCCGAGACAGTCTAAAACACGTCGCATCTAACGACGGTTTCTCCTGCCAAGGAGGACGCATCTTTTTCTTTTAATAAGATTTATCGAATATTTAGGCCGCTAGACGAAATAAATATACTATAAAATTGCTGCCGAAATGCACACACACACACACACACACACACACACACATATATATATATATATATATATATATATATATATATATACACACACCCTACTACATGTCTATCCAGACAACTTACGTTACACCTACCCGAGCATAGCTCCACTAGAACTCATTTAAACACACACCCTACCAGACACCACCCGAAACATACTAGTAGAAAATACAAGCATAATAACCTCATCCACATGTAAAAATAAGGATTCCTAGTAATAAAAAAAGAAAAACTATGAACACGGCCACAATGTGCTGATCGTGGTTGGAAAATGTCATTCCTATGACTCTAGATACATACATAACACAACCCAAATATTCAGTTAATATTAAAAATAAAACCAACTACGATAATATTGCCGAGACATACAGAACTTTTGGACAGTTTTTACAAATTTTGTGTCCAGAAAAGAAAATACTTGTACGAACACAAAAAAATTAAATAAAAAGGTTAATCGCAGTACCTTTTCAGCCATCTTTAACGAAACATGTATAAAAGAAGGATTTCTGCCTAAATATATATACATGATTTTGATAGCTCTGTATATATGCGTTCTGGGTGTAATATTGGGGATTATGAGGCTCTCCGGAACATTGAGAGTTCTCCTAAGCTTTATGTTCCGTTTGAAATCATCTGTACAACTAAAAATTAAAATCAACCGAAACGCTTAGAATATAGAAAATCAACGGGTTAAAAGAAATGGCAACCTACTGCCGGAAAATCTTTTGCCTGATCAGCCATGAATCAAAAGACATGATCGCCTAAGCGTGTATCGCATATGGCACTTAACTTATATCTTGGAGATTATGGTTCTCTCCGGAACTTTATTAATTTCTCTCAAGCTTTCAGTTCCGTTTGAAATCATCTTCAGGAGAAGGAACCAGTGGCAAAAGCTTGCTTCACAATTCGGCTCTGTACATAAACGTCTTATCATCGATCTTTTAATTTGTTGATTTTTCGATATTCTACGCGTTTCGATTGAATTCTTTGAATTTTTAGTTGTTCAGATGATTCTTAACAACACTGAAGCAAAGACAGTCTGGTAGACAATTACGAGTTTAAAAAAAGAAAGATCAGTACTGTTTGGCTGCCCAACACCTGTAGATAATGACAGGAAACACTCTGTATTCATTGACCGAAAAGGTAGCATTACTGTTGCTGATCGTACAGGCACAGGTGTTTCAACCTATATGGCCATACGCCTTCTGACAAAAAGATATTTGCCCGATTTTTTTAAAAAATTAAAACTAAGTTTATAAACAGTAGAAATATTAATTCTTCTGTTTATTTTTCTTTTCTTATTTAGTACGGAAACAGAATTCCACTACCGACGCCCAAGCCAGAGGTGAGTATTTTTGTTTTTTCACGAACTCGAAACTCTAGTCGGGACTTGATTCGGGCTCAAACCCAGTTATTAAAAATATTGATTGTAAAATCAAGCAGTCTCGGCGCAACACATATCTCCTTATTCTCCTCAGCTTCGTAATTATTTTTTAAATGCCATGTTCTGTCAGAACCTACAGTGGTTTCCCGTTGCCTTCTCCACGGTTTTGAGTTCAGTGGTTTCCCGTTGCCTTCTCCACGGTTTTGAGTTCAGTTTTCCTTCTCTTGGATTGGTTGCCATTGAAGACTGTATAGCCCAGTCTATGCTTCTATTTAACCTACATGTAGCTGGAAAAGACATGTCCCCTCTTAAACGCTATCAAACTTTTTTTTTTAATACTATGTACCTTTTATGATGTAGGCGATCATGGCTTTCCACGTTTTTTTTTTTTTTGTTTTTTTGTTTTTTTTTTTGTTTTTTTGTTTTTTTTGTTTTTTTTTGTTTTAGTATTTGTGAATTGCGATGTATTCTTAGGAAAACTGCTTCAGCGTTGCATTATCCACGATTTTGTCTACTCTGCAGTTTAATCCATAGTTGGTAGTGTCCTGGGTATGACGATAAACTACGTCCAACAGCAACACCTCTGACAATACGTCTTTGAAAAAAAATATTATTACCAGCTATACGATATGGATAACGACCCGGAGAGCCGCGTTCGAACCCCAATCGAGTTCGTTATATTACGCGCAAATACCCTTGGAAAGGTATGAATCCATGTCTTCTCCCCCAGCTATGGATTAATTAGTAGGACTTGTATCACAAACCATTATTATCTCTTTAAAAAAAAAAAGATTCTTGCTGTCTAAAAATATTTTATTTTCTGGCTTTAAATAAACAGCAAAAAGGTTGATAAACCGTAGAAAACAAATCAATAAATGTAAATCTATCAGACTTAAGACTAAACAAAGCCATATTTAGTAAATCTCGATTGTGTTCGGACAGTTGAAAGCCTTTGCTGTTTATTGTTTCGATGATGTTTCGGACAAACACTTCTTCAGTGTTTCAGATATAAAGTACTTAAAGAAATCTCGGAAAAAAAATGATCAGCTAAATACCACCCACATTATGGTAATAAAATCAGTGGCAATGGTGTCTTCATTTAGCTAATGTCTTAACATTGTGTTGTAGGTGTTTCTGCTGCACCTTGTATATAAAGGACTTCAAATGTCTGAACCAATTTTACCAAGAGAGAAGCTGGATCATGCTTTCTGTTTTATGTTCAATCTGTCATTGACGTCGGATGTGCAGGTACCGTAACGGTTAACAACTCAGAAAAACGAAATCATCGAATCGTGTTCGAATTCCAACCGAGATTATTGCGTAAGCTTTCACGCAAATACATTTGTAAAATATATGACTCCATCCCTTCCACCGTCGCCATTCTAGCTAATGGGTTAAAGAAACATGCAACCAAACTAAGAAAAGGAAAGCTGAATTCAAAATCACTGACGAGGGATAAGTTCCGTCGGGATAACTTGCCATAGACAGAACATTTGTGTTATGGCTGCAGTACCTGAGGTGCGTCTACGACTCTAATTGCATACGGGATTAGTAATGTGATATTAAACACCATCGTGACCGAAAAAAAAACCCAAAAAAAAACCTTCTACTCCTATAAAAAGATAACGATTGACATTTAAATGCAATGACAATCGTTATCTTCTGTCTTATTCGTGTTCTTTTATTGTTCTCTCTACTTTCTCATATTCTCTCTCACACTCAGTAAATACTTGCGTCTTAGTAGCTTTATTTCCTTGCCTGGGTTGAAATAATCAAAAAGAAAACTCAAATAGATTTTCTATATCTTCGCCGGAATTATTAAAATAAAACAAAAAAAAATTTAAAATAAAATAAAAGGACGGTTTGGTTCATTACGCTTTTTTTTTTTCTTTCCTTTCTTACTTTGGCGCCTGAGTGATCTTAAGAGGATTCCAGGTTTTGGTAACTGTCAGTAAAGCCCTCAAAACTTTCCCGAGTTGGGAACGAATCGTTTGGAATCCAATATTTAACTGTAGACGCCGTTACGTTAACGTGTTTTTATTTTATTTTTTGGGGGGCTGCGGTCGCAATATTTTTTTTTATTATTTCTCTTATAACATGCCGCAACATTTGCATTGAAAACTGGTAAATTGCCTTTTTTTTTCCCTTTTGAAGCGCATCTGAAATGCGTTTTTGTTCCTTTGTTGCACGTTGTTTATGTATGCATTTTTTTTTCTCGTGTGGCTTTCAACGGCCATTTTCTAAAGTTTTTGAGCAAATGTATTTGCGAATATTGCAGTCCAGTTTTCCCTTTGTGTTCTTTGTATTCGTTTTTGAAAGAAGTTTGACTTGAAACCCCTCCTTGCCATGCGCCCAATACTGATCTGTTGTTTCCTGATGTTGTAGGCGCTTAAACTTGAAAGGCACACGCGGATGGTAAATGCTTTGGTCTTTTGATACATGCTGGAGTGTAATGCAAACAAGCTAAGACAAGTGCACTCACAAGAGGGGAAAAAATTAAACGACTTTGAGCACCACCATTAAAACGTTTGCAAGAATTCCAATGTCAGAACTTTATCAACTTTTACACTCCCTCGCACATCAGGATTCTCGTTTTCGTCCATCTACGCCACTTTCATTGAATATTATATCCCTTACTTTTCTTAAATCACTTCAGTATAAGATCCTTGAAATTCACTGACGTTGACTTCTTGCAACTGATTTTATAATTTTTCTTTCTCTTGTGACTAAACTTAGCAAATGTCATTCATTGCCATGGCAAAGTTTTTGTATGAAGAAAAGTGAATAGAGAGTAAGAGAGGATTTTAAAATTCTCTTGATCCTGACACTATCATATTGGGTTTTTAGGGCATGCGGCTTCCGTGAAGTAAACTATAGCCACTCCTCACTTAAAATAACCTAGTTGCTAAACAAGACATTGTACCCAGGGCCGGTGCAAGGGTATCTTGCACACCTGAATCTACTACATCTCGGTTTTCGTAAGGTAATATTCATGTAAAATACAAATTTTATTGTAACCTAATTAACTACAATAATGGATCATATGCAATATAGGTGAACAATTCGATTAGAAAAAAATAAAAATAAATACAATGTATCTAAATACAAATTAAATACATGTCATAATAGATCATTCCCTCTAAAATAAAACAATGTTTTGTAACAATTTTTTACATCACTTTGAGATTTTTCTAGATAAAAAATTGAAAAATTTTAGCACATTCAACATTATGAATAAAAAAAATAGTGAATTTTATAGTTTTTTTTTTTTTTCTTTTTTCGAAACTTACCATGAGTAAAAGAAATTCACGGATTTGAACGAAAAAAACAAAACAAAAAGACCCCCCAGAATGACGTAAAAAATCCGTAAAGATGTTTTTCATCATTTCAGTTGTCAGTTGTGCTTAGTTTAATTTGTAATGTATGTAGAAAAAAACAAACAAATGCTAATAAGATAGCGAGGGTCATAAAGTACTGCCCCCACCACCGAAATAAGATTTGGGCTTTCCCCGGTCGGGGTTTTCAGGGTAGTATTATACATCGGCCCTGGTTTTATCTGACCGTCATTTCACGCGAATTACACGTGTATTGGGTTAACTTTTGCAATTTATTTCAAAATTGTCACACAGTAGTTTATTAAACAGATGTAATAAGTAAATGTGAAAATCGGCACATTTTGTAAATTACTTTTTTCATACAACGACTAGTTGGATTTTTTTTTTTTATTCTTTTTTTTTAAAAGATTTTATAGCTGGGCAACATGTCCGGCTCAGCATGGTGGCACTCCTGATAAATTTCACTCTATTACTTTTACAATTGTTAAACTGTATGTTACAAGACCCCACAGCAATAGCCTCGGGAATGTGTAGCTGAGGTCAACATAAGAGATTGCATATGCAATAATTTATACTACGTAAAAATAGTAGCGGTATAGTTAGTGTAAGACTGGGGGTTGTTAAACAGGTAGGTTGTTAAGTGAGGAATGGCTCTATTCTTTAATATGATACTCAAACAACTTTTATCGGTTTATATAATTTGGTAATTCAAACTTCCTTAACTTTTTGGAATATCTTATTTCCGCGTTCTGTCTTGATCACATTTCGACCGTTCTACTCTCCAGCCAAAAAAAAAACAAAAAAAAAAAACACAGCAAACGAAATCTGATAAACACTGATTCCTGTATAACTTGTATATTTTAAAATAACATTTGCCATGGTAATGTGTAAGTGTATGTATGAATGTATGCATTTCTCTAAGTATAAGTTTATGTACATAAATAATCTATGTATTTTAGATGCATTTGGTACCATCGCTATGTGAATATTGCCAAAATTGTAACAGGGCGGATATTTATTCCTCAAGCTATTCTCCTCGCTCATCATCACCAAGATACTAATGAAAGTATCTCTCTTAGTTTATCCTAAATATAGTGACGTCAGCACATAAGCCTCTCTCATCGAACAGGCCTTCTGTCTCAGTGGTTGTCGCCTCACTTGTATTATTTGACTGGGTTTCCTCCCTTGAACCGCGCGCGTTTTTCTGCGTTTACCTCCCTTGCTAAAATAGTTGGCAATATTCATTTATCGTCGGGTTCCGCTATTTTTAATATTCACAGTGGATTAACAGTTATGCTGCGTCTTTTTTCTCCTTTTTTTTTTTCTTTTTTTTTTTCTTTTTCTTTTTTTTTCTTTTGCTAATAGCTTGTCTCAGGGTTCACTTCAGGTGATATGACGCATGCGCATTTTAACAAATGTATCACTGTCCGCCATGATGTTATTATGATTTTTGTATGCATTTGGACTTGTAGTTTTGTCGTGTTCGTATATAGATTAGGCGTTTTGTGTGTGTTATCTTTACAATATGGAAACTAATTGAGTAATTACTGATTGGGTACAAAATTCTAATACCAACAGGAATATTTCTTCTCTGTTATGCAACCCATCTTTATTTATTTTCTGAAAGTCTATTGTTTCCATTCACTTGTGACGTTCCTACCATCTTTGGTTATTTACCACCAGCAACTTCTTAGAACTTGTTTTGCTAACCTAAGCATTAACAAAGAACCTCAAATTCTACCCTTAACACTTTTAAAATACTAAATTTTAAATTAAAACTTTCACCTTTTTTCAAAAAAGAAAAACGGAATCAGCAAAATTCGAATTTTACCTACTTGATGTCCTTGGAAGAATTATAATTTGACATACATACAAATGTTTGGTCACTGGCATGTCATGATTTCTTACTAAGAAAAGTGTCTGAATCGACATTTAAGCAAACTACTCTTAGAAGAATTAATTTCAACCCCGATAGTGGACAATACATATACTTTAAAAATTGATATAGCTCTTAACATTGACTGACCGCAAATTCATTCTGGTAATTACATTTTCCCTCCCTTAAATCTTAATGCTGAAGCCACATATGTAGCATCTTTCCTTTTTCATTCAGTAATTTCCATTGTCAAAAATAAAAACTTCCTAAAATTACAAAGTTTTCTCGGTCTTTTGCAAAACATTTAATAAAGTAATTTCTTTAACAAATAATTTGACTATCCAGTCGAAGCTAAGGGCCTCATCACGTTGAAACACTTGTTCCCGTACTGTCAGCGAAATTAAGCAATGCCGAAGTTGGTCACTACCTAGATGGGTGACCGCTTGGGAATACCAGGTGCTGTAAGATGTGGGGGTGTGTAATGGATAAGGACTCGGAATTATTAACCGGAGTGGCGAGTTCCAACTCCAGTTAAGTTCGTTATATTCACTTATGCGCAAATACCCTTGGGAAAGGAATGAATTAAGCTCTTCTCCTCCAGCTATGGGCTAATTAGTGAGGCTTGCATCACTAAATCATTATTATCTAAAAAAATATTTTCTGGTTTTAAATAACCTGCAATGGGTTGATAAGTCATAGGAAACGAATTCATCAATGTATCCAGTGGATGCTGGGTGGTGTAATGGAGAGCGGCTCGGAATGAGAAATCTGAGAGCCGAGTTCGAATTACAGTCGAGTTCATCACATTCCCTTACGCGCAAATATCCTTGAGAAATCCATATGAATCCAGCTATGGGTTAAGGAGTTGGCCTTTTTTGGAAATGTGATTGTTATCTCCAAAAAAAAAAAAAATTGTTAATCCAGTATTCACTCACAATTAAAAACATTCTTACAACTCTAAAAATATTTTGTCTTTAAATAACTCACAGAGAGTTGATAAGCCGTAAAAAAAATCAGTCTATTCTCGTATCCAGTAATTACTCTTCGGTGCCTAATACGTGGGGGGGCAGGTAACAATCTAGAGGCGGAATTTTTCTTAATATTCTATAGGAGGCAAGGTAAAAAAAAAAAAATGAATAAAGAATTAAATCTCGGAAGGTGTGGCCGAAAATTTCCCTCCAAAAATAAATTAATACCCCCCCCCCGACACACACAGTGTCTTTTAGGCACCTAATAGTACCTGAAATAATAAATGCGTACAATATGGCCGAAGGAAGATAATTCACGAATATTCAATTACGTTTTTATTAATTGTAGTTGCATTCACTTTCGCACAAATGCCCTTGGGGAAGGGAGGAAAGCATGAATCCATCTCTTCTCCCATATACGGGTTAAATAGTAGAGCAGATTGGGCTCTCTAGCCTTAAGTGACACCAGTATAAGAGAAGGAAAAGTCTGAATTCCAAACCGTAGAGAATGCAATGGAGAATTCTCCAATATCTTTCTCAATATATCTTGCCAGATCACAGATAATGAAGAAAATGAATCTGGAAAACCATGTTCAGCTACGTCTGGAAAAGACATGGTATATTAAATGTTTTGGTATGTGAAGATAGTGTATCCGTTATCAGCACAGAAAGCAAAATTGGTGAGTAGAGTTCAAATTCCGGCTTCGTCTATCGTGTTCACTTTCTCCCGAACAATCCTAAATCCATCTCTTAGACCTCACATCTCTACCAGTTATGGGTTAAAAATAGCAGAGGTGACAAGATCAAAAAATATATGGAGGTAATGGGAAACTAGTCTTTTTGTCTTTCTCAAGAAATCATAACAATTCACAGATAATAAAGTAATTTGTGGAGAGGCATGATCACCAAGAGACACAGCCGTTTAGGGAAAAAAAACGTTTGATAGCATCCAGTGACTTTCCGTTATTCAAAATATTGGATTCATAAAAGTTGGAAAAGGAGTGTTCCACATTTTAAATTCTACCCAGTACGCAGCACCAACAGTGTGGATGGCAGCGGGATCTTGACCTCAGTATATGGTGCTAAAAAAAAAACCAGAAACAAAAGAAACTGCGTATGCGCATTCCTTTGGTGAGATGTCAGTTCCACCCGAGCAGTTTCTTTCCACGAACCGCTGCTTTGTCAAACCGAATCCCAAGAGGATGCTCCCTTGATCATTATAATCTTAACCTGTTC